TGAGTGAGTTAGCTTGTGAACTTCCTCTCCTCTTCCTGCAGGTCTTTAAATGCCTTACTGGATATGCTGCAACAGCTGCTTCCTCTCGCCCACCGCAGAGCGTAAACTGGCTGTCACAAGCTGTGGCCATGTCATCTGTAGTGTGTGTTATCAGAAAGGTAAAGTAAACGTTGGTGATCTTAAAACCAGTCACAGAAACAACCACTGTTGGGATGTTTGGATGTATTTTAACGTCCAGCTGCACTGTGCTTGCTGCTGCTGCCCCAGTCATGTGAAAGAGTGATTGGACAGGGACATCTGTTGGACTGCAGGTGATACTGCAGAGCTGGGGACTCCCTTGGATCTGTTAACTACACTTTTTAATGTCTAAGCTCTCTAAAAAGACACAAATTTGTTGATTTTGAATAAACTTCCCCAGAGGAAGCTGAATTTGAGATATTATTTGTTGCTGCCGCACTGAGTTTGATGTTGTTCTCGGCCTTTGTTATGCTACAGCAGAGACAATGACATCAGTGGGGGCTTCAAATGAAATCAGAGTAAAATTACACCGTTGGATATTGGACCTCGTGAACTATTCCTGGAGGTCCCTTGGTCCCACTTCGGGAGCCGCTGATCATGTTCACAAGGCTGTTAGTCTGTTCCTGATGGGTTTCATATCAATCTGACTCTCAGTATTGGATTTAAATGTCCTCTATCCAGTAGAAAGATTATGCATTTTATTCCCTGCTGTATAATTTTGTCCATATATTATTGTAACTTTTCTTTCAGGCAAACAAGGCAGTTGTTTAATATGCAATGCCAAATGCCAAGTGTCACCTCTCTCTGACAAAGTAAGCACCTTTCTTCTCACTACCCACTTCCTTGGCTGGGATAACATCACACTTTATAACGTAAGAAACAGACTGATATGATTTGACAACCCTACTCCCATTACAGTCGTGTGAAATGTCTTTGTTACAGAGCAGCTCGGAGGTGAAGGCCCTGTTCTCCGACATCAACGTCGTGGCAACCAAACACTTCACGGAAATCAGCAAAGTTTGGTCCTTTTCTATCTACACATCACAGAATATCAAAAAGAGATGAACTGGTATTAATATCAGGCTGCTCGAGCTGGTTCGCTCAAAAATCAGTTTTGTAGATTTATATGTGCAATATATTTTTAGAATATGTTCTTTATAATATTTTTAGACTTTATATAGCACTGTTTCTTCCCTTTTCTCAGGTTTTAATGTTCCAGGCAAGACATCAAAAGAGACTGTTGACTCACTACCAGCAAAGGGTAAGATACGTGAGTGTGTGTGTCTTTAAGGGGTTTGCTATATTCGTGATATATATATATATATAATAGCATGTATGATGTAAATGATTTTAACCAGCCAACCATGTCAACTTTATAATTTAGTTTCCTGCTCAGTATAAAATAGTCACAGCTGCTCATTTAATCCTTTACAGAATGAGAAACTAGAAGACATATTAGTCAAGATGAAGCAGGAAATGCAGCAGATGGCAAAGTAAGCTAAACCATAAGTTTATATTGCATTTCCATACACATTTCTAAAGTGCAGCTTTTTAAAAGTTGTTATTTTCCCTTTAAAGGAAGCTGAATGAGCAGAACGCCTACATTACTAAGCTGGAAAACTCTCTTCAGCATCAGAGGTACCGCATGTAGATACTCATATTAGGTTCAGACACACATTATAGGAAGAATGAGTCACCCGTCTTTAATAGCTCATCTGTCATTATTATTGAGTGTGCTGTCTTACAATTGTATTATTCTCCAAGATTTGAGACTCTTAAAGTACATTCACAATCTTTATAAGGCAATCCGTTTGTTAGAGCTTGTAAATCTGATCTGTGGCTGTCAAGTTTGCCTACATACTTTCACAGCCACTTTACTGTGTAATTAGGCGGACTTTAACTGCTCCACAAATCAGACTATCCTGAGAAATATTTACTTTATTTTCCAAAATGTTTAATAACAAGCATTTGGCTGATGTTCCATTCATCTGTAGATCATTCTTTCAGCATCCTTCATTCACACGAGATGTAAACATCATACCGTATGTATGTTGTACTGCATGGCATCAGTGATCATGATGCTCATAAAGAGTAATAGTCACAAGAGCAAATGAGGATCTGTGCAGGTAGTAAAACCTACAACCTGTAATGATTTTGGATTTAATGGTGGTGGTGTGTGCCTGTTTGAGTTTGGCAGCACCTTAGCATATAAAGTTATTTACAACCAGCTGGCTGTTATGCCTCACCTCTCACTAGGTGTCACTCCTGGCACATCTGCTCCTGGCCTGATGCAACCGCAAACACCTGAATTAGTTTAAAGGCACTTTTGAAAACTGTATTTAAAAATATTTTAATTGTATTTAAATTAAAGGGCTAGCTTACTGTACTGCAATTCCTTTTAAATGTTCTGTGAAAAACAAACTAAAGGTTCTCCTCAAAGATGTTTATATGTATGTAGTTATTATTCTAACTATGTTATAGGCAGCTGTGTCTGCTTTGTTGGAACTGATTAACCTTGTTGATAACTGTTCTCACTCAGCACCAGGGTTTCACCAGTGCCTCAGATGAGCCACAGTTCCCTCACTCCACATCAACAAAAATCAGGTAAACACTCTCGTAGGCCACGTTGTTCAGACTGCAGGCCAAAGTGACCCAAATGGGATTTTATTTTTTGCTCATATGTGACTTAGATAGGATATTTTCATGACAGTGTGAACAGGATAAATCACAATCACACTTTTAAATCCGATTCAGGACTGATTCTTTTGCAGTGTGACCTCAGTGTGAACAGTCCATCACAATTCACTCTGACCTTCGTCATGCGAGTCACTTCAGGTTCACACTTTAATAACAACCAAACAGCTGTTGTCTTACTGTTGTTCACAGTTAAGAGTCACTCAATACAGTACTTTGGGTTTAGAGTTTAGTTTAAAATATAAAATGTGACAGTAAAAGGAAGCCATGATTGATAATCTCGTGACTCTGGTCCAATTAGGCTGCTGACCATAAAACTGGCTCAAGTCATGTTTTTGTGGTCATATCTCTGTAGGTCATTAAAACACATACTTCCCTGTATGAGCACTATTGTCTCATCATCATGAAGAGAATATTCTGGTTGTTCATGTTGTGTTTGTTTCTTGTTTGGCGTCAGTCCTACAGATCCCATATAACTCCCCCATGTCCCTCTCAAGACACTCCTCAACGACTAATGTGTGAGTATTGTTCCTCCGTTCTGTTCACTGTCTCTCTGAACAGCTTTAACCTTCATCTTTGATTTGCACTCTCCTCACTGAACCTGTTTTTTTTACTCTGCCCTTCATTACCTCTCAGCATAAGAGCAAGCGAGAGTATAGGAGGTATTTCACAGTGCAAACAAGCCGTATCCTGGGTTCAGCCCGCTGTCTTATGTTAGCTTTACCTGCTGTATAGCTTTGCCCTGCCCTGCGGCGATCTACACACTGACTACACACCTGAATAAGCTAAGCTTCGCATGGGTTTAGTCAGGATTCCCTATTGGGTTTCTGAGACACAGTTGACACAAGATTGACTGTCTGCTTGAGCTTTATAGTACAAATGTTGTTTTATCGCTGAGACTTGAGTTTCTTCTAGTGAGTGAAAGCAGTGTAGATGATGGACTGCGGATATTAACCCCATTTGCAGTAATACCGCAGTGCCTGCAGGGTCAATTCTGTTTGGATTTAAAGAGTAAACTGATGATTTGTTTGAGTTGTCATGCAAAGTTAATGTGGAACACACAATGCTTAAGGGCTTTTAATAGGAATAATACATTGTAATTATAGAGGGCTTTTAAAAATATTTAGATTTGTGTTCCTGAACTGAATTAAAAATATGTAGTCAGTATAATAAGTCTTACAAAAATCTGTTTTGTTTAGACAAGCCCTACGCTTCTTGGTGTATTGCAGTTGTTCTCAAGTGTTGGAGAAATGCATAATGTTTTTAATAAAGTATAAAAAAAGTGTAATCATAGACTAGCCTTAAAACCAATGAATGCATAAAATGCTTGAAATACTGAAGAAATTACTACTGAAAGGATGAATTCAATCAAATGAATTGTTACACTCTAGTATAATAATTCTGTAACAATGTACTGCAAAGCATGTAGGGAAATTTGTTTTGAATTCTCCTCAAACATAAATGAATATCTGTCTCTGGAACTCAATTATTTAAGTTGTTAGGCAGACATTTGTCCTGTTATAACAAAGTTGAGGCACCACTGCAGCTCTCAGCCACTGAACCCAACATTAATAATGAAGTGTGCTTTCCTGCAGCACTGAAAACGTGGAGCTGGATGAAAGGAGTCTGTTCAGGAAAGTAAGTTTAATTGTTTCACCGCCCATCTCTGCTGTACAGTTTGTGTTCTGATAATTAAAGACTTTGTTACATGAAGAATAAAAGCATGTGATCTCTCTCTCTTTCTGTCTTTCAGCCTAACACTGTCCCCAGACTGTCATTAATCAGCCCTCCACAAGATGGACGGATGGGTATGTGCTTTGCTCCGTCTGTCATAAAACCTGTTTTTGCTCGTCACCACAGAGAGATCTGTTGTCTGTGTCACATTTTGTTCTTAACCTTGGATCTTCTTTGGCTACTCACGTTTGAAATGTTTGTTACAACAGCAGAACATAGTTAGAGTTTGGCGTCCAGGCTCCGACCTCATCACTTCCTGCTGATATTTTATAGCCGGAGCCTGCAGGTGGGTGTTGGGGTGAGAGGCAGAGGAAGAAATTTGCAGTAGCAGAATGTATTTTAGCCACCTAACAAAATTCAATGTCAGTTTAAGTGTACACTATGTTTGAAGTATTTTAGCACTTCACCTCGCCATCAACCAGCCCTTTCCGACGCAGAACTGAAACTGTTATATTCATCTACGCTGTCCTCAAAGCCCCCACACTCACAGGAGTCCACCACCGTTAGTTTGTGTGTGTTATTGTGTGACTTCAGTGTTTTAACAGGTAGAGAGTAATACTACAGGTTCACTTTGTTGTTGGTGGAAATATCTAACTATAGAATGTAACTCTTAAACTGATATAGGTTTTTGTAAATGAGAGTAAGGTGCAGCTCGTGTTGACTGTGTGAACGAGCTTGCAGGCTTGAGACCCCTCATGGCGCTGAAGGCACTTCACGTTAAGCTGCCTGGGATATAACACAATTAAGTGTCACTGTCTCTCTGCCAAAGGTATGCATATTTATAAACAAGGTGTCACATTGACAGACATAATTACACTATAATCATCTGACAAAGGCGTCTTGCAACTGGACTTCACGGTTGGTTGACCACCCACAGTGATTAACCCAATACAGATGTTGGTTGTTGTTATGTTTAGGACTGCACCTATTGAGCTAGGGTCTCTTTGATTATGTGATATAGTCTCAGGATTTAACCTCCTTTGTGGCAGATAAATCAGGTAATAGCCTTCAAATTAGCGCTGCACGATGTGACCACAAATTGGTTTTACAGTAATTATTAAGATTCTGGCAGGTCACTGTGTCACTCAGCAACACAAAACTATACAATATATACACAATATATACAGGAATCAGAATATATGAAGCAGTTGCAGAATGTAAAGTATTTTTATTGTGCAAGATAAAAACAGAACTTAAAAATACAAAAGATATATTAGAAGTAATATTTGAGTATTTAAGTCTTTAAAGAGGTATTTCTCATATGTTCTATTGCAAAAGAAACAAATGAGGCACAGCAGTTGTTTCAGCCATGCAACGGTATGGCAGTATATGAAAAATTCATATCATATGGGAAATTAAAACCAGTATGTTCATCCGGTATATTTCCCACCACTACTTCAGATATTATTAGGATTGTGTAAAACCATAGTATTTGTAAGTGGTTGGTTAAGTAAACATTGTATTGAAGGAAATCATAATAATGAATCAGCAACAGATTTATTGTGCTATTCAAAATGCTTCACTGACAGTTGAATTTATTGTTATTACTAAATAAGGATGGCATGTGCCATTTATCATAGAGCTGTCTGTAGCAGGCGGTTGTGTACACGCTGTCGGTGTTTGGCCCTGTTGTAGCAACATTTAAGTGGAGTGAGAAATGTGAGGGAGATGACTCACCCATTTATCTTGTCTTCCTGGAGGATTTTACAAATGAAACTTGCAGCAAGCTCATGTGATGGAAGAAGAGCCTCATAATGACCCAGAAATAACTCGTGTTTTTAAAACCATTAGGAGCCATAATGTGTGTATGACCTGTGTTAAGGATTAATGTCCGATCTCTCTGGTGTCATGTTTAGGCACCGTCTCTCACAGATTGTCCAATCAGAACACGTTGGCCAACCATTCAGCTCGCTCGTCCACAGTCAGGTGAGGCATCAGAATGAAATCACAGCATTGGTCTTTTATGTCCTAACTTTGCATTGAAAACAGGAATATTAAATGGTGATTTATGGAACTTACATTTACATGTTTTAATTGAACTTGTATCTTTATTTTAGGAATCATGCATGATTGATATTTTTTTAATTAACTTTTTTTTAAAATCTCAAATCTCTACATGCCCCCGTTTGAACATTGCTATAGAGCTCCATTGTTGTCCAAATACATCAGTATTGAAAGATGGACAAAGGCAGTGTTGGTATTGGTCATTTCATGACAATAACAATTCAAAGAATTATTTATTATTATTCCATCATGTTGCTCACAGGGTAATTATGGGGAAGTAGTTCAAGATTTTAATAAACTACACCTTTCTCCCAGTTGTTTTCAAGGATCACCGGCGACCCCGGATATCGTATACGGCCAGAGTTCTGGATGGAAGTCTCCCATCTTCAAACCTCCCTCCTCCTTCAGACACTCCATGTCCTCCCTGGTCTGCCCTCCGCCTTAACAAACACACACGTCATAAAGTCTTCAGAGAAAATACACCTCGCCACTGACATGTATATAGAGGTATTTATGTCTTTCACAACCTAAAATGAGTCGCCAGACAGTTTGAGTGTGGTGTTTTAACAACCCCAGATGTATAGGTGAAAGTACATGTATTACTCTTGAACCAGAGCCAGGATTTATTGTGCTGTACATTGATGATTAAACTCAGGTTCTGTTGCTAAATTGCAGTTTCTGTCAATTAAACTGATGAAATAATGACATGAGCATCAGTGTGGTTGTAAATATTGTTTACAGTATCTTGAATTTCCAGCATTTTCTTTCCCGTAAGTATTTTGATCATCCCGCCATAATACTGTATTTATCCAGATGAAATCCAATACACATTTTACCTATTTTCTGTGTTGGCCACAGCTCAGGTTGCCCACTAGAATCGGAGTTGTTTAGCTGGGTGTTTTTTTTTGTTTTGGAAAGTGAATTACTTTCACTAATCCAGCAGAGAGACCGACAGGCCTCAACCCACAGAGTCTTACAAGCCTGTAGCCGCAGGCGCTGTATGATGTGACGCTCACTCTGCTGCACCAGCACCTGTTCAATTTACAAAGATAAACTGGGATTATGTTCACCAAAAGATCTGCCATTTACTGGATTCTACAAGACAAGACTTCTAGCTTTGCAGGCAAATGCTGTAGTAACATCAAGAGAAGCCTTCAGGGAGCGGTGTAGTTAACAACCCTCAACAATAGTTTCCGCACTCCTGGCCTGCTGCGTGTAACTTCAGTAACATGACTCGTGATTTCACCCTCAAATCTTGTTACAAAACAGCTGCAAGTGAAGGCAAAGCAAAGTGTATCAGAATAGAAACATGATATCACCTGAAGTCATCACAGCGAGGAAAAGTTGATGCGGGTGAAGCGGGTGGCGAGGACGGCCAGATGTGTTCAGACAGGTCCGTTCTCTCTTTGTCGACCTGCGTTTTTGCCTCTATTGTCCCGGGTTGTCAGGGTGGTGAATGGTGTCTATTGAAGAGGGCTCAGGTGTGACTGTGTGTGTGTGTGTGTGTGTGTGTGTGTGCACAAGATATTCAGGCACTTACTAGCGTGTGTGTGTGTGAAGTTAAAGGGTATTGTACAGAGTCAGTAGGCCTGATCCTCCTCTGCGCTTCAGTGATGATTTGAAGTCGTTTCCTGTTTTTTAAGGTCCACTTAGAGAGAAATGGCTCCCTGGGGCAGACTAAGCTGTCATGGTGTCAGACACTGACAGGGAGAAGACTAAATCAGAATAATCTCTCCCTTATGCGCGCACACACACACACTGGGTCATCTCACTCTGTCCTCTACCTCTCACAATTACAGTAATATTTCACTTTTCTTTTAAAATAAAGTCACACCATTCTTTTCTCCTACAAGACATCTCCTTCCCTCTCTTTATCTCCCTCCCTCTCTTACTTTCTCCTCCCCACAAACACACACACTCTCACACACACACCTCTGCATGGCTCCAGGCTGTACAAATGAGCCCTGCCACTTCAGAGAGCTAAAGAAAACTATTCTGATGTCAGTGGTAATTATTCAGCAGCGTGTTCCCACAGCTTGTCCACCCCTCCCTCTCCCGGTCTCTCCATCTCCATCTTTCTGTGCGTGTGTGAAAGAGAAGCTTCTCTCTTAACCTGATCCAGATTTCACACTTTGTCACTTAGTATTTCAGTCTTGTACCTTTGGTGCTGTAAGTGTAATCCCCTCTAGGCAAGACACGACATGAACTAAATGATTTCACACTGGAGCTATTTGTCTTTCTGAGGTGCACAGAAAGCGTTCCTGTTAATGCCCTAGAGTGTATGATCTGTCACCTTTACTGTTTAACATTTAAATGGAAGAGGGCTAAAGAAGATGTTTTTGTTTAAAGCCACCAGGGAGGATTTCTTTCAGAATGTCTTTTAACTTATTTGTATACTCATTTGCTGAAACAAGACTTTTATTGTAACGTGAGCACTTTAAGCTTCTGTACTTTTAGTATCCACTTTTAAAGCTGTTGGTCCCCCATAAACCACGAATACCTCACACCAGATCAATTCTAATTAACGGTGAAGAGCAGTGCCCCTCAGTGTTTCACACTGGGGCAATCAGATGATCAATAAAGTTAAAAAGATGAACCAAAAAAGACATATTTGCTGCACAGAAAGATTTTTTTTCCTGACATTTTTGACTTGCAGAAGAGATTTAACTCTTTGAGGATAAAAACAAACTACAGTCTGAGATCATCCCTCTTTGTGCCTTCCCTATTAGAGGCCACAAGCCAAAAAGATTGAGCATCCTTGTGTGTCATTACATAACACATCCTGGCTTGGATTTTTAATGCATGTTCTGTCAAGCATGCTCCAAAGCATTTAGCTTAAGCTTTTGCCGATATACACTCGATATGACGACCTAAAAGATCCGCCTTATCTGAATGAATTAATGATTTAATGCTTCACAGTGGAACAAGGTTAATTATCAGTTTCATCATCTGATGTGATGTTGCTTAAACTATTTTGATATCACAAAAATATCCTGTACATGTATATGTTGGTATTCTAATTTTTATTTTGTTTTTAAAAGTAACATAAAGGAAACTAATTAACTAAATGCGCCATCCCTCAGTGATATTCAGTTTCATTAATGTAGTTAAAGCATTTCTTCTGGGAGTGAAATCCTTTATTTTTATTTAATTATAGAAGTAAATTGGAGTTACTGTACGCTGTGCTGACAATCGATCGGCCTGTAGATGGCACTATAGTCTATCTCAGCCTTGTATACTGTATATCACGATAGCTCCAGTATGCATACCTCTGCTGTGTGTGTGTGAAGGCCTTTGGACCACAGCTGCCTCTGATAGGGATCGACAGGATGAGGAAGGAGCACTCACACACACACACACACACACACGTCCATTCACATCTGCTGCTTTTGAAGAGGGTGAAAAGGATGAGATTGAGGAATTGTTCGACGCGCACACACACACACAAAAACACACCCACAGGCAGTTTTGCTGCATTTTAGCAGGAGATAGTTGAATAGGGGCGGTTTATGAGTCAAAGAGGAACAGGTGAGGATGGGTGACCTGGACCACTTGTATTCTCTTCAGTATACACACACACACACACACACACACACACACAAACAGGCATCCCACATGTGAAGGCAGGCATGCTGTTGCCTTTGAAGGGGCCCAGCCTCCTCCAACTGTCCCATGCATGCTTGAGTGATGTCAGCACGGCTGTGGAAAGATTCCTTTCCTGTCACACACACACACACAC